AGGTGGTTGAAAGAAGCCAACGAACTAGACACGAGGGAAAAGAGAAGGGCAAGGTTGGTCAGGAGGAGGAGGAAAGAGGAGCTTTCGAGAGAGGGAAGAGCGGGGAGGATGGGGCGATAAGGAGGAGGAAGAGACTGGGGAGTTGGGATGAAGAGACTGGGGGGTTAGGATGAAGAGACTGGGGGGTTAGGTGGAAGAAGGATTCTTCTTCATCTTGTTGCGGGCAAGTTCCTCGTTCGCTGCCTGGTACGAGGGTTTGGTCGAATGATGCTCTCCTGTATGCCTCGTCCAGCCTTCCACCAGTGACGCCCCGTACTGTCCCATCCATCTCATGTACCCCTGCCCGTCCTCGTCAGCTCCTTCTCCTCCTCCTGCCCCTGTCCCTGCCCCTGCTGCTCATCCTGCTACTAGAGGAGCGGCATGGCCTCTGTTCTCTTCTGCCTTGACCTGATTCCTTGCTCTCCGTTTCCGCTTCCCTTCCTCTCTTGTGTGTAACTCCCACCCTCCCCTTCTTCCCGCCTCCTCTTCTCTCTCCCTCTCTGACTCTCCCCCTCTCCCTCTTCTCTTACTCTCGGTTCATCTCTCCTCCTCTCCTCCTCTCCCCTCCCCGAGCGCTGACCTGCACGTAGTCCTCGAACCAGTAGCGCTGTATGGGAGCCATGGCCTCGTAGTCAGACTTCCTCCTCAGCCCGGGATTGAAAGTGAAACCCTTCCACCTGTGGAGCGGAAGAACCCTGAGAGGTGAGCGTCAGGCTACAGGACGAGGAGGAAAGCAAGAAGGAAAACAAGGAGGAAGAGGAAAGGGTGGGGCGTGGGGAGGATAACGAGGAAACCGTGGTGGTGGCGGTGGTCAAGGAAGAGGAAGAGGAAGAGGAAGAGGAAGAGGAAGAGGAAGAGGAAGAGGAAGAGGAAGAGGAAGAGGAAGAGGAAGAGGAAGAGGAAGGGGAAGAGGAAGGGGAAGAGGAGGAAGTAGCAGTAGGAGGATGGGGAGGGGGAGAAGGAAGGGGACTGACTGTCGGTAGGGGACCCCGGATGCAGTGTGCTGGAGGAAACCGAGAGGAAGGTCATGATCGCGATGATCTCTGCACCACACGACGAAGATATCCGGGTCATGCTCTAGGATCTCGATCGACTGCCGCACGAAATCTCCCTGACACAAAGAGTCAGACCCATCCATCTCTCTCGTCCTCGTCCTCGTCCTCGTCCCGTTCCTCGTCCTCGTCCTGTTCCTCGTCCTCGTCCTGTTCCTCGACCTCGCCCTGTTCCTCGACCTGTTCCTCGACCTTGTTGTCTGTGCTCTCTCCCTGCCCTACAAACCCCATTTCCTCTTGCTGCCCGTCAAGCATCTCAATTTCTCCTCCTTCTGCTTTCCTTCCCCTCTATCCCTCCTGCCACCTGCCCCCCTGCCTCTTCCTCTCCTCTCCTCTTCCTCATCCTGATTCTGCCATCTCAATTTACCTTGGAGTGAAACAGCCAGTCGTCCTGGCAGTGGAAGATGTAGTCTACTTCTGCAATCCCGTACGCCGAGTCGATGCTGAACGTCATGCCCGTCCTCCCCCGCCGATTCAGCAGCACGTGGAACAGATCGCCGAACAGTGCCAGCAGTCGAGCATGAACAACTTCATCCCCAGAGTCGTCGATGAGGATGTAGCGGTCGATAGGATACGTGTTGGCATGCAGGAACGACACGACCGTCTCCTCCAGTAGCGTCAGCCTCCCGTCCACTGCAACACAGGATGTGATCACTAGCGCGACCCTCCTCCCCTCGGGAGCTCGGACGTTCGGAGCCGAGACCCTCCCTGCGCGCTGTGGGGGGAAGGGATCGCCGGCCCTCCAAGGAGGAGAGTGGTGGGAGGAGGCGTTGACGGTGGACTTGGGGAGAGGGGAGGGAGGAGAGGGGAGGTCAGTCTCCCAGTAGACGAGGCTGTTGGTGACCCCCAGGGGTCTTCCTTCCTTGTTCATGAGAGCGACGAGGAGCAGCTGCGGCACGTGATTCCTCGTCCCGAAGAGAACAGTCTGCAGCATGCTCCCCTGCCAGGCCAGCACCTGCTGGCCCCCTGCTGCAAGGACGGCGTATCCTCCTTGGCTGTCAAAGTCATAGCCGTTGATGAGAACCTCGATGGTAGCTGGCTCACGAAGCACGTCGCCGAACCTGGGGGAGAGGAAGATTATCTCCACCTCCTCCACCGTTGCGTTCGCTCTCCTCGCCACGCGATCCTGCCAGGCTCCTTCCTCGAAGAGCTCGGAGGTGTAGAGAGGAGGAAGCGAGAGGGGATCCACCTCTTGCAGCTCCTCTGCGTTCAAATCCCCCAGAGTCTTTCCTCGACATGTACGGCAGCTGAGCGACCGAAAATCAGAATTCAACCTCCTCCCTACCTCTCCCGCATGCTCGTGCTCGTGCTCGTGCTCCCACTGACTCGCATCTTTCTGCCCTGACATTGACTCCTCCCTCCTCCCTCCTCCTTCCCGCATCTTCCTCCCTCCTCGTTCCTCACCTGCGGCAGCGGCGACATGCTTCCTTCAGCGCTTCCCTCTGATCTTTGTCCACGAGTCTCTTCAGTGCACGACCCAACTCGATCACGTCAGAGGTTTTCTTCTCCATCAAGAGCAGCTGCACGTGCCGGCTGTCTCCTGCCCGGGGGATCAATTGAGATTTCTCATCCCCACTCTCCGACTCGCAAGTTCCCTCCTCCTCCTCTCTCCGTTCCTTACCTCATTTCCCTCCCCCCTCTCCTTTCCCTTCCTCAACTACTCCTCCTTTCTCCATATTTCCCTTCCTTTCCTCTGTTCTCTTCGCTCTGCTCTCCCCCCTCTTCCCCTTCCCCCCCTGCCCCCTCCCTTACTTATCTTGCCCCCTTGGCATTCTCACCGTAGATCTTTGAGTAGTAGAGGGCAGTCGCCTCGTCAATTTCTCCCTCCCCGTTTTCTTCTTCCTCCTCCTTCGCTGCTTCCTCCCTCCCTCCCTCATCCTCCTGCTCCACTGCCGCACTGGTCAACCCTCTTGCTCCTAACAGAGAACATCACGAAGGTCCGAGTATGAAAGGACCGCTCCTGCCCTTACCTGGATCCTCCTGCTCCTTCTCCTGCTCCTCCTCCGCAGCCGCCGCCATCAACACATACTCCGCGTCTGGTATCAGCTCCACAACCTCTCCTTCCCGCACAGTCTTGCGCAGAGGAGGATTTGGCCCGGCAACAGACTCCAGCACCAGCCCCTCCTCCTCCGCTCCGAACTGATCAGCACAGAGGCTGGACAACTTCGGTACCCTCCACGTGAGCGAGTGAGGGAGGTAGTTCCTTAGGAGCACTTTGCGGTGCCAGCACTCTGTCGACCATCCTCGCATCTTCAGCTCCGCCAGCTCCCCTGCCGTAACGAACACTGTCTCGGGGAATTCCCTCCTGATGAACTCTACGGTCTTCACCAGCTCCCCCCGCAGCAGCAGCCTTGCTTCTTCTGGGTACGTCTTGCTCATCGCGTTCTGCGCATGCCACTGCAGAGACACGAAGTCCCTCTCCTCGAGCACCCTCCTCAGCCTTGCTCTGATCTCTTCCCCCTTCCTCTTCACCGCCTCTGCTCCCCCGAGCTGCCACCAGCTGTCCAGGTCCACTTCCTCCCTCTCGATGGTGTCCACGAAGTCAAGCTCGTTCCCCTCCACCGCCAAGATCCCCTCCTCCGCCAAGATCGCTCCGACTGAAGAGGGAGCATGGTGTGTGGGCACGGAGGTCACCCTGGACCTGTATCCCCAGAAGGAACGGAAGGACTCCATCCCCTCCCTCACCCACTCCCCCAGCTCCTCCTCTGACTTCTGAAACCTCACGTCGTCCGCCATGTACTCGCAGTGAAGGCTGTGGCTGCTGTTGCCGCCGCCCTCCCTGCGCGGCGACAGGTCGTAGAACACCATCCCTTGCTCGAAGTAGAACCTGAAACCAGCGTCACCAACCAGAGGCAGGGGAAGTGAGCGGGTCGCTGCACGTACCTGGAGAACTTATCGCCCTCTCGTAGGTACTGTACCCATGCTCTCGTGTCGAAGTGCGAGCGCCCGTGGTACTCCGGATGCCACAGCCCATCCAAGAAGAGCCTGAGGAAAGAACTGCGAAGATCTCCCCTGCGACTACGGGTCAGTGTGGGGGATTGCTACGTGTCGATCGCATCTCCTTCATCCTCTTTAATCGCATCTCCTTCATTTTCTCCCAGCACGTTTCCTCCATTCTCCTTCTCACCTGTTGTATGGACTACGTGCATGCCCCCCCGTCGAGTTGTGCCAGAACAGCTCTCTGTACTCGCACGTCGGCATGTCAGGGCAACCTGTTCTCCTCATCCCTTCAAAGTCGGGCCCTCCGACCACCCAGAAAGGCGTGAGGACGACTTGGAGTCGCCTCTCAACGTTTCTGTTCAGCTCTGACAGCATCTCATGTAGATCCTGCAAGTCCTCCTCCTCCTCGACTGTACTCAACATCGGCTCCCCTCCTGAGGGCCAACCCAAGTTCATCATGGCGGACTTCCTTGACTCCATGTCAGGCCAGACGGGAAGGCTGTTTGACCATCTCCCCCAGTCGTCGCTGCCTATGGATATGAAGAGACGTCGACCCTGGCAGTGCGCCGAGGGCACTAGAAGGAGGAGTATCGGAGCGTACAGGAGCAGAGCACGAAGGGAGGACATGGCGAGGAGGGAGAGTGGGGATAGATGAGGGAAGAGGCAGACTGGTCTCCGTACAGAGTTCTAGAACAGCTCAGAACATCTGCATTTTCGCTTCCTAGCGTCTTCCTCCCTCCTCCTCCCTCCCCTCTGTCATGTCCACCAGCATGTCCACGTCTAGACGGATCGGGGGTCAGGGGGCAGCAAAATATTCCTATTGAGATCAATACTACAAGTTTGCTGTCCTTCGGTTCTTTCATGAGTACGAACGGGTTGAGGAGGGATGAGGGACACCAATCAGAGCAGCGATGCGCACAGCAGCGCTTCTTGTGGCGATGGCGGCAGCCGCCGCTGAGGGTTCAGCATGCTGGGAGAACGGAGGAGCAGGAGGAGGAAGAAGGGAGTGCAGGATAGAGAAGGGTATGATGCAGCCAATGGTAAGATCATGCTTCGTGCAGGGGCTCTCGATCGTAAGATCTAGAAACTTCTACGATCCTTGTCCCAAGCACCTCCCTCGAACTTCCCCGCACAGGGGAAGAGGAGCCGGCGACCTCGCCATGCAGATGTGGGGGTTTCTTCCTCCACAGAAGGATGACGGGATTCCTCCTCCCCCCATGGTAGAGATCAGCAAAGAAGCAGAGTTCGAGTCTCTCCTCATGCAAGCTGCAACGATGGACAAACTGCTGGTCCTCGACTGCTATGCCTCGTGGTGCCGAGTCTGCGTGTTCCTCGAGGTGAGGATCATCTGTGTTCATGAGAGTCGCTGACTTGGCTGCTCTGCATGCTCTCGTCTCCTCAGCCTCGCTTCAAGAAGCTGGCCCACCAGTTCATGGACAGCTGCATGTTCGTCAAGGCGGACGGGCTGCTCATTGAGTACAACGACGGCAAGTCAGGGTCAGGAACGTTGAAGAGCGCCATAGGAATCAAGAAGTATCCTACCTTCCAGGTCCAAGAGAGGGAGGAGTGAGGAGGAAGAGCAGGAAGGAGGCTGTGGTGGGGGTGGGGAGATGGTAAGTGGCAAGGGCAGCGGGAGGATCAGGGAATGTTGATCGGAAGCAGGAGGAGGGTGGAGAAGCAGGGAAGCAGCATGAAGAGGGGACGGAGAGGAGTAGGAGGGAGAGGAAGTGGAAGATGAGGAGGAGAGCGAGAGCGAGAGCGAGTGGATCAGTTCTGATGTCATTCAGGTGTGGAAGAAGCGGACGCTAGTAGCAGAGATTGTAGGAGCGCAAGACTTCGAGCCTCGAGACTTTGAGAAGACGCTGAGGAACCTGATCCTTGACTGGTCGGAGAGGAAGGAAGAGCCGCTGCGGCTCACAGGTGTAGGAGCCACCAAAAAACTCTTCTACTCCAAGGACTCCCACGGAGGAGGAGGAGGAGGAGGAGGAGGAGGAGGAGGAGGAGGAGGAGGAGGAGGGAAGGGGGGGGGAGGCGATGGGAAGGGCAGTTACGGAAGTTCTAGCAGAGAGTTTGGGAACTAGACGTGTCAATGAAGGGATGAATTGGCACTCTTCCGAAAGGTTTGCCACATCGCCTATTCTACACCTTTACATCAAAATACAGCAGAGACGCCATCAACACGTTGCATGAAATTCTCAGCATCGTCTCATCGAGAATAGTCCTTGATGTCTTTCTTTCTCTCCTCATCTCACTTCGCCCTCTTCTTGTCGGATGATTTCCTTGAGCCTTGCTGCTCGCTCCCTCTCATATAGATGCCTCTTCATCCTCTTTGCATGCCGGGACGGCGGCACATCATCCACGAACTTCACCCAGTCAGGAGGAACATCCTTCCCCTGCGACAGAATCAGCTCCTCCTCCTCCTCCTCCTCCTCCTCCTCTCGCCCTGCTCCCCGAGCTTCATCCTCCTCTCTTCCATTCCCCTCCCCTCTCTTTGCCTTTTTCTTACCTTGCTGTCATCCTGCCACCATCGGGTGACGAGCTGCTCCAGGATGAGCTCCTGCTTATCTGCCTCGCCTCCTGCTGTTCGTATTGACCTCTCTCCTCGCGTTGATCTGTCTTCCCTCGCCCCTCCTGTCATCGCCCTCTCCATCCTCCTCGGCCCCTCAGGTTCACATCCCCCAGCTTCGGCAGCACGATCCGGCGCTCTTTCCCCTCCGCCTCCTTCCTTGTCAGCGTCTCCTCAAGTCTCTTCAGGTCCCTGGCCACGTTCCTGCTCCTGCTCAAGGACGTGACGGGCCTGTGTTCCTCGACCCATGCCCAGCTCTCCTCCTGCTCTCCTCCTGCCACATCTACGGCCCTCATCGCCCCGTGGGTCTTCTGGAGCTCGAGGAATGCTTCCGACGCTGTCTTGGCCCTCCGCTCCAGGTTCCTCCTCCCAGCTAGAGGAGGAAGCGACTCCTTCTGCTCCACCTCCCACATCTGCTGGTCCAGAGCTGAGCTGCCCTGAAGCACTCCCGCTGACGCCATGGCAGAGGTGTCAGGGCGGAAAGAGACGCGGAGGGCAGGGGAGGAGCGAGGAGGAAGCGAGTGCGAACTTGTCTTGGGTCGCAGCCAGGAGAGAGCGATGGGTTCCCCGCTTCTTGGGCTCTCAACGTACGCAGTGGGGGGACGGAAGGAGAAGAACTCGTCGTAGAGAGCAACGGACACGCTGTCTTCCTGTGCGTCGAGCATCTCTGAAGTCACCGACAGCTCCTCCTCCTCCTCCTCCTCCTCCTCCTCCTCTTCATCTTCCAGGGCGGAAAGGCAGACATCCATCACCGCATCCACCGTTTCAGTGGCTTCCTCCTCAGCCGCGGAGATATCTGCTAGAGGAAGTGATGGCGCGAAGAAGGGAAGCAGCAGCCGCACCTGCTCTCCTGTAGACTCTCGGAGGAACGATCCTCCAGCATTGCTGCAGGTAGAAATGTTCACGGAATACATAAATGAGGAGGAGTAAAAGGGAGAGGGAGAGGGAGAGGGAGAGGGAGGGGGGGGAGGAGGGAGGAGGGAGGAGGGAGGGGAGGGGAGGAGGGAGGAGGGAGGAGGGAGGAGGGAGGAGGGAGGAGGGAGGAGG